CCCAGCACAGCATGTCTCCTTTCCAGTCACAAAAGGTACATCAGTGCAGGGAAGAGAAGATCCCAGGGGCTCAGACCTAGTTGTATCCACTTTATTTATCATGGCAGATCAAGACACAATGAAGCTCTCCTCCTCTCAGCTCTGTGGCTGGGGAATGTGCCTGTTGTTAGGATGTTCCATGAGGGCAGCTCACCCCATACCCCACAGCTCTGTCCATGCAATCAGCTGTTTACAGCTCCTTTAAGCCCCAAAAATGCTGTTTGCAGGACAACCTGCACTGCCACTCGTTTGTCTGAGAGTTGCATGAGATTTTTTGCAGAATCAAGAGATAAAGAAAGCAAAAAACTGGCTTTCAAAGCAGCCCCATGGAGACATCCTGAATTTGCTTTTAAAGTCCACCCTCCTGTGAGCACTGTGAGCCAGCTCCCAGCGGGATCTTGGATTTGCTTTCTGTGTCCATCAGGGGTTTGGTATTTGCTCCGTATTTATGGAACCCTGTGCTGAACTGGGAGATGAAGCAGGGAAGGGGATGGGATGCAGCCAGCAGGATTAATCCTCTTCTGCACGTGCAGTGCTGGGAGGAGGGGAACTGATGGTTTGCTGGGAGCAATGTTTTCTTGGGAATGATGGTTTGTTGGGAGTGATGGTTTGCTGGGGATGTGGATTGCTGGGAGTGATGGTTTATTGCGAGTGATGGTTTGCAGGCAGCAATGGTTTGCTGGGTGTCAGGGCATGCTGCTGGGCACAAGCTCACACCAGTTATTCCTGCATGGAATTCCCCCCAGGGGGTGCACTCATGCTGCCATGGGATGGGGTGACCTTGGAGGGGACACACAGTGCCACCTGCTCCAGCCCCATGGGATGATCAGGAGCAAGTCTGTGTCTCTGCTCCCTTTCCTCTTGGCTCTCCACCCCTCACCTCCTGCTTGTGAGCAGCCCATAGTGACTCCCTTTTGCAGGGCTTTCCTTGACACAAATCCTCCCAAAAACAGTTCCTTTGCTCCCCCCACCACACAATTACCACATGTTCCTAATTGGGGTCCCTGGGGCAGCTGAGGCTCCCAGTGTGAGCTGCCCAGGTGACACTGCTCAGCATCCCAGTCCATGCACTTGGCACTGGCAGAGCTGGGGATGGAGCTGGGGTGGCACCAAGGTCCTGCTGGCAGGAAAAATAACCTCATCCTACAAGGTGCCCCAAGGGTACCAGGGTTAGCCAAATCCCCCTAGTCCATCAGCTGAATGGCAGAGGGATGCACACCTGCAAACAGCCTGGAGCACTGAGTGCAGGCAATGGGTTTTCTGGAGAGAAAAGGCTTTTTTACCCCTTTTCTGTTTTTGTTTTATTTTTTTTATTTACTAAAATAACAAACTCACAGAGTAATGGAAGAGTTCCAGACCTGGGAATGTTTCTTGAAAGGGATCAATTGAAACAGGCTCCTTAATTACACAGCAAATTATAACAAATTTCCAAGCATGGGGTTTTAAGAGGTTTAGGGACGTGGCTGTTGGTAGGAAGGGAGGTTTGAATGCCCTTACACGGAGCTGGCAGCATCCCAGCTGTGTTGCTAGAGGAGTAGGCAAAGCTTTAGGGCTGGAGGCAGATGAATTGGTTCAGTTCCCAGTCCCTTGGCTTCATGGGGCCTTGAATATTTGCTGATTCCTGCTTTGGAGCTGCTTTATCCTGCCTGAGGAGTGTCAGCACAAGGGGACTCTGCAGCAGAGGTTCCTCCTTGCAGCAGGCTCACACTGCACCACCTCTTCCACTTCACACCCTTCATTTTTTTTCCCCTAAAACGTAAGTTTTAAACCAAATTCCAAAAGGTGGTTTGTTTTTTTTTAATTCACTTACCTTGCAATGGAGAGCAAGAAAGGAAACTGAGTGTGTTTGGAAATCACCTCCCACCCTGAATCCTGGTACCAACTGGCCCCTGAGATGGTGGTTGGACCAGGCAGCACAGGATGGACATCTCTGGGTGCCCATGCTGGGCAAGGCTCTGTGATGGAGCCTGGATTTGGTTAGGAACTGCAGTGATAGGACAAGGGGCAATGGGTACAAATTGAAAGAGGGGAAATTTACATTAGATATCAGGAAAAGGTTTTTTCATATGAGGGTGGTGAGACATTGGCACATGTTGCCCAGGGAGGCTGTGGCTGCCCCAACCCTGGCAGTGTTCAAAGCCAGGTTGGATGAGTCTTGAGCAACCTGCTCTGGTGGGAGGTGTCCCTGCCCAGGGCAGGAGGTTGGGACTAGATGATCTCTAGGGTCCATTCTAACCCCTTAACATTCTGTGATTCTGTGATTCTATGGGCAGAGTGAGATGGACATCCCTGAGTGCCTGTGCCAGACAGAGCTCTGTGGTGGGCAGGGTGGGATGGCCATCTCTGGGTGCCCAGGGTGCCTGGCATGCTCCATGCTGAGCAAGGCTCTGTGCTGGGCACCTGCTAAGCCATTGCTGCACTCATCAGCTGTGAGTGCTGTTACTAAACTTGGCACCGCAGCTGCCTACAACTTCAGCAGATGTTTCTGATTTTTTAGCCCAGTGGAAATTTCTTGAATCACTTTTAACCTCCAATCCCAGGGAGGAAACCTCAAGTGACTCAGCCCTCAGTGAAGCCATTGGCTCCGTGGCAGATATGATCTGAGAGGAGCCGCAGAGCCGTCCAGCTCACTTGTCTCCTCGCCCCAAGTGCCAAAGAGTTGTCCTGTGTGGATCAAGTGTCCTAAATACCGACAGGGAGAGACCTGACCCACCCTTCCCCTCTTCCCTCCCTTCTCACCCCTTTCCCTGTGCCAGATGGCTGTTGTCAGGGAAGGGAGCCCGTGCACAGCAGGGTGAGTCAGTGGTGGGGATGGACAGGAGTGATGTTCCAGCCCCTCACCTACCCACATGAGCTCAGCCCCAGCTCGGGGCTGGCTGCTGGCTCCAGCCAGGGATTCAGCTCCCTTGGATGTTCCTGGCTGAGCTGTGAGCACACAGGGAGGTGGTGGTGACATAGGGCACCTGAGACCATCCCAGTTCCCCAAGGCAGATAGTGACAGGACAAAGGGGAACGGTTTTAAACTAAAAGATGAGATTTAGATTAGATGTTAGGAAGAAATTATTGGCTGTGAGGGTGCTGAGGCACTGGCACAGGTTGCCCAGAGAAGTTGTGGTTGTTCCATCCCTGGGAGTGTTCCAGGCCAAGTTGGACAGGGCTTGGAGCAAACCTGGGCTGGTGGAAGGTGTTCCTGCTCATGGCAGGGGATGGAATGAGATGATCATTAAGATCCTTCCAACCCAAACCATTCTATGACTCTATATTCTGTCCTGCTCTGCTGAAAGCCCCCACACCTTGATGGTCACTTTCTTGACATAGAATTGGTCTGGAGAGCTAAATTCAGGGGATCCTGCAGGGCCACAAAGGCACAAGAGAGTTGTTGGTGTCTCCTGGGGCCCTTTTGCTATCATCCCACCCTTCAGCAATCAAAACTCCATTGGTTGCCCAGTCCAGGGGCTGAATGGTGTCTGTAAATGTGTGCATAAGTGGGATGTGGTCTCATCTGGGAAGGGAGTAGGTCTCACAGAACAGCTTTTCCCTGCAATGGGCTGACAGGCACTTTTCTGTCCCTCCTCCAGGTTCTGCTCCACCCCAACAGTGGGGCAGCTGGGAAGAATGGAGAGATAGAGGCACTACGGCTGGCTCAGTACAAGGCATTTTACACCACAGGTACTGTGCCCCTTCCAGAGATCCTAAAGTCTAGGAAAACACTTCTGGAATCCTTGGTTCCCTGCAGATGTAGGTAAAAACTAACTCAGGTTTGCAAGAGCAAACACAGGTAGGGATAAGTATGTGCCCACCTGCCTCTGAAGCCCAGGGTTGTTGGCCCCAGATGCACTCTGGAATTAGCAGCTGGGACAGTGTGGGACTGTGCCACCACAGGAACACAGAGGGGATCCCTGGGCAGCCTGGACTACAGTTTTGTTCTCTTTCCTCCCTAGGAGGGGCAATGGCTTGCGATGGGAGCACTGGGCTGGCTGAGCATCACCAGCCCCCCCTCATTTTCAACCTGGATCGTGATATCCAGGAGCAGGAGCCTTTGGATGTGGCATCCAGAGAGTACCAAGCAGTGCTGCCCATGATCAGCAGGGCTTATGGCCAAGCCCTGGAGGACATTGCAGCAGACAATGTCTCAGTGGCAGATTACTCCAAGGACCCGGCGGCGATTCCCTGCTGCAATGTGCAGCACGTGGTCTGTCGGTGCCACTAGGCCACGCTGGGTCTTCACGTGGAAAGGAGAACAACACAGACCTGTCTCTAAGCAAATAATTGCTCAGGCTGCTCCTTCTCTGAGTCTGTTGTCTGTGAATGGGATGTGCTGGCTCCAGGCTGGAGGTTGGCCATGGAGAGGGATGGAGGCTGCAGTGCCCTTGGCTCCATGCTAGAAGCAGAGAGGTGAGTTAGATGTGGGTCTGGGGGGCACACAGAGGGTCTCCTTTCCTGCAGAGCAGGATTGTCACCCTGGCAGAGCATTTCACTGCAGTACCTGGTGGCTCTGGGCACATGGAAGGCTTTTTGTAGGGTTCTTTAGCTCTGGGAAAGAGCCAGGTCTTGGATTAAAACTATATTCTGTGATAGTTGGCTTTGGGAGAGAATTCCTCTGGGAAATGTGCTTGGCTTTCCTCTAAAAAAGAGGCATTACAGAGTGGCTGGTGGGAGCATGAGGCAGGGGAGCACAGGGCACACATCCTCTGAGCAAACATCCCTTCTGCTGCTGAGAATCTGGAAGTCTGTGGGTGCAGAGAGAAAATTCCCAGCTGGCACCAGGTGAGTGCTCTGGGAAACAGAACACCTGCCCCACCAGCTGCTGGCTGAGCTTTCATAGCAGGGTCATGGAAGACCAAAGTGTCTGTGGGAGTAAGGGAGGCCTGGGCTGTCCCTGACACGTGGGCAGGATGCTCAGCTTGTCCTGCACAGCACAGCTTAGGGACTATGCTGCCACCTGCACCTGAGTCCCAGTGTTTGGGAAAGGCTCTTTCTGCAAGGTGTGTGGGAGAGGCAATGCCAGGGGGCACAGGTGGGGTAACACAGCTCTTCTGGGGCCATTTCTGGGCAGGTGCAAATGCCTGGGGAACTGCAAAGCCAGAACTGAAGTTGCAACTGAAAGTCAAGAAACCACCAAGATTTCTCAGCAGCTGAGTGAGGGTTTTCTGAAACAACTTTGGGCTCTGATTTACACACCCAGATCTTTCTTTGGCCAAGCTGTAAATGGATTGGTGTGGACTTGGCCAGATGGGTTGGGTTGGGTCATGTGGGAGCAGCTGTCCTCACCCCAGCTCCCCAAACCCACTCTCCCCACTCCCAAAACTTCATCCAGACTGACATCTTTAGGGCCCCACAAAGAAGAGCAGGAGCTGCCAGGGACAGACTGTGACTTTATTCTGTCTTTAAACGTAGCAAATGGCATCTCCTCTAATATCACTGCAAAAATACTTTGCCTGGGTTAAAATAGTATGTATATACTGTACAAAGACATAAGTTTAATATCTCTTCCTATAAGTACATTTATACACATAAAACAGCATAAATTAGAAAAGGGACGAATGGGTATATAAAATTCTGGTTACATACAAATCTGATTAAATTAGCATTTACATTGTGGTTCTAACATAGAGTTTGTTAAATAGAGCAATGTGCATACAGTACAGTGACACCCCACCCAGACACCAATTGATACAGGGGCTGAGGGCCAGGTATTCACTTCCACATACCAGAGGAAAAAGTGTGGCCCACCTTAGATTGATTTTTTTTCTCTCATCTTGGGGACTCACAGATCTGTTCTTCGAAATTCCTGGCTTTTCCAAAGCACTTCCCAGCAGCTGTCCCAAGTGTGGCTGTTTGCTGCTCCTCATGACCTCTTGGCTTTGCCTGGTTGACCTCCACGGCACAAGATTATCTACCAAAATCAAAACAGAAGGGCCTTACTTTTCCCAGCAACAGGGTGTGTTTCCAGTTGGGTTTACACACGTGGGAGGAGAAAGGGGCAGGGATGTCCTGCAGTGTTTTACTTTCCCTTCAAAGGCAGATTTGTGAGAGGTTGATTGACTCTCCCCCCTCCCCAAATTTGCAGTCCGGGGAACAGGAACCATCTGGCTTGGTGATAAGTGTGTCTTGCCTCTGCCTGGCATTGTGCTGGGCACAGCCACGTTTGGGGGAGTGCAGGTACATGGGGTGAAGTCCATTTGCCTTGCTAAGTCCTCCCAAAAAGCTCAGCTCTGGCATGGCAGGAGGGAAAGGTGTGTGCATGCATCACTCTCAGGTTCTCCAGGTGCATCCCAGAGTTAAACACCAACACGTTAAAGAGGATTAAGGGAGAGGAAGTCCAGCCTAAGCACCAGCAAAGCCTCTGAGAGAAAGAGTAAAGCAGGAGCAGAGAAAAACAGGCAGCAACAAAGACCCTGATCCATGTCCCATCAGCTATTCATGCCATGGAGCCCCCAGGGTGAAATGTGTCCCTGCTCCTGGATCAGCTGTGGACATCTCATTCTGAGGCAGCTGCTGACACCAACCATGAGCCCAGGCAGTTCTCAGCTCTGACCAATGTCTCACAACCTCAGCTGTAGGAAAGGTCTCTGCCAGTTCCTCCTCCCAGATCCGTTTCTCTGGGAGCTTCTGGACCATGACTTGCCTGGTTTTGAGGTACAGGCATTGACACTGGATTGCACAATTCCCAAGGGACAGCAGATCATGTACAGATAAGATGAGCTTAATCCTGCAAGCCCCAGCTGCCCAAAATACCAGTCTGAGCTACCAGGGCAGGAGCAAGAGGCCATTCAGGCTCTGCCAAACTTATTCATCCCCCATGAAACATGATTACTTGTCAAGCTTCACTGCAAAATCTATGGCTTTTCCTCTGCTAAGAGCCAGCTGTCAGAAAAATCACTTCAAATCATTAGTGTCCATATCCATGCCACAGAACGAGTGGAACACCATCCAGCAAACAGCAGAGAGGAATTTGGGCAAATACTGATCCCATGGAGACAAAGAAGGATCTGCAACCTGGTTTCTTCTGGTTTGGAGCAGTGAAGGGGTATATGGACCCTCTGCAGACCTTCCCCTGATTTTCTCCCTCCTACAGGCAGCAGCATCTTTTGGCAGCACAGGAAAGTGCCCAAAACCGTTTTGAAGTAGCCAAAAATCGATGTGGGAGAGATGGTTTATAAGAGTGACTGAGGATCAGTGAGGAGAAGTCTCTTTGAAGAGCTGAACTGCTGTATGCAATCTCACCTGACTTCATGAAAAGGATCTTCTGATAGAGCCTTCACATCACCTCTGGTCCCTGCAGCCAAACACAGGATGCTTGCCTGGAAAAGCACTGAGCAATCTGCTACAAGAAATCACCTTTCCTACTGAATCCAGCAGATTTAAGAAGATCCTCTAGTTGTGGTTGCACTCCCCAGGTGCACACAGGCCATCTTGTTTGCAGAATCCTGTAGGATTTCTTTTGCCAGACCTCACAGCACTACCCCAAAACTGTTCTGACCACACCTTGCCGGGGACAGCCACTGTGGTGGCTCCCAAAAGTGGAGCTGACCAAGCAGTGCCTTACCTGGCCCAAAACATACACCAACAGCTCCCAACACTGCTGGAAACCTCACTGATAGACCCAGGGAACAGCAGCAGCTGCTCAGGCAGGTGAGCCCAAAAGAGCTGTAATTGCCACAACTGTTTGCAGCCAGAGCTGGTTTGCTCTTCTAATCCCCCAGAGTGAGGACTCCACAGCCTCCTCCCTGCACATGCAGCACAGCACCTGCTCCTCACCCGTGGCTCCAGCCTGCTGTCCACCTCAGGAACACCTGAGTCCTTCCTGCCTAAGATCAGCAGTGACTTGGGAGTGCTTAATCCACCCCATCAGTGCAGGAGATGCCACTGAACTGGTGTAACCTCTTGCTGCAGGATCCTTCTGCAGTCCTGGCACAATCAGCAGCAACATCCACGTTTGCTCTTGTGCAGTCACTTTTTATGAGTCCTTCTTGGGCTTCTCAGCTCCTCTCTGATCTGTCCCTCCTTCCATTTAATGAAGAGGCAGTTTTTCACAGATTTTATGTTAGGCTGAAGCTGGTTTTCCTCACTCTTTAGCAGCTGAGCCCCTGAAGTCTTGCTTGAGGTCAAGGGAAGACAAGATGTTTCAAACTGGAGAGGAACTGCAGGCTCTGAGCACTTTCTCCAGAGCCACATCTGAGTTCAAAGCCATACCATGGGCTGTGGGTGAATATTCCATTTTGTCACAAGTCTTGAGGTTTTTTTAAAAGTCTTTTTGTTGCACACTGGAAAACAAACAAAACCCTTCCCATGCTTCCTCAAAGCAGAATGCTGTCAAAACATTTGTGTTGGATAAGGTCAGGTTTTCTCTCCCTCCTGCTCCACACAGGAGTGACCAATGCCTGAAAATCCCCTTGAACGTGTCACTGAACTGAATCTCTTAGTGCTGAGAAAACAACCAAGTTCAGTGAAATTCAGAGCATCAAAACATCCTGCCTAGCTCTCTCTGTACACTCACACCACGAGGGGCAAACCCAAAGCCCAAGACTTTATCTGGAAGCTCCATTTGCTGAGCCACTCTATCAGGGAGTATTTATGGGCAGTGCCTTCCCTCCCACACCACCTCCTCCTGAACATTACACATGCCACTTGCTCTGTCAGGTTACTGACAGCATTTTGAGAGATCAAAGCTCATTCAGTAAAGCACCTGCTGTGATCCAGCAGGGGTTTGGGGCTGCTTTCACACAGCACAGTCCCAGCAGGAAGGCTCATCCAGGAGCAGCATGATTCCTGCTCACTGGCATTTGCTTGGCCCCAAACCACAAGTTCAAGAGCAGGTTCAGCA